GCTACAGAGCACTGAGCACCAGAACGGCCAGACACAGGAACAGTTTCTTCCCTCAGGCAATCCATCTCATGAACACTTGACAATAACTGTGGAACACACACTATTTATTCACTCATACACTTATTTATCTAACACTCACATTCAGTCTACACCTCAAATTTGCACATAATATACAGTACCTGTACATACAAAAACTGTCTATTGTAATATACCTGCACATACAATTGTCGATTTATATATTTTTATTCCTTATTTACTTGTTCTATTTTATTTATATTTTATTTTCTGTGTTTTTTGTTCTGTCTCTGTCATTCTGTTACACTGTGGAAGCTTCTGTCACGAAAACAAATTCCCCGTATGTGTAAACATACCTGGCAATAAAGCTCATTCTTCTCTGGCCGCATGACTATTTCCCTGCATTAATCACATGTAAATTCCTCATCACTGACATAGAAGACTACATTAAACATGTGGCAAGCAGTGCAAGTGACAGCAACATAGAAGCAGCCATGATTCACTGTGACTGTTGATGCTAACGTACTAGAGTTGTCTGATGGACTCATAAAAGTTGGAGCAAGAGAGAGAAAAGAGAGGGTAAATCACAAATGACAAGTTAGCATGCTAATGAAATGCTGTGCTACACTGCTGCACTACACTTTGGCCAGTAGGTAGTGCTGTCACACACTCATTTTCTGATTTCATGCAAATCTGGTGTAACAAAATGTTAATAACTGGAATAGACACAATATGACATGAACAAAACTTGATAAAGAAATAGTGAAAAAATATGTTTGACAGAAACTATTCAAAAATCAAAAGCACTTGCTGCATTACACTTAACATGGATTCAATGGATCTACACTTACTTTTTCTCCACCCAGTTCAGTTTTCACCCATCCTGGGTGAAGGGCCATGCAGAGGATCTCATCCGCCTTTAACTCTTCAGCAGCTAACACAGTCAGCATGTTAAAACCTGCCTGACATACATAGCATCAATGTTATACATGGACATACATAAAGGGCAATGTATTGAATCCAGTGCAAAAAGTAGGACTCTGGTGTACCTTGCTCATGGAATATGGCAACACTGGGGACTGGATGTGGTTGGAAGGCTTTCTGGTCATGGATCCCGCAACAGAGGAGATATTGATGACAGCTGCTTTATTACAGGACATGCCTGGTGTCCTGCTGGCTTTGGCTGCTGTTTGTAGATATGGTTGGTACTCCTGCATAAAAGAAAGAGAAAGAATTACATCATGAAGGTAGCATTAAAATTATTTTTGACTATTGGCATCAAGTCTACTGCATATTGTAGCTTATTCTGGCAACTCAATTGTACTGCTTGGCTTACTTAATTACCCCTCTTTATCCCTAGTGGCACATAAGGAATTATGATGTTTCCATAACAATATAGATTTTATAGGATGGAATTTTTAGTCCTACACCCAACCCCCAGCCTGGAGGACCAGGTTCTACCTTTGGTCTGGCCTCTACCCTGGGACCTGGCTGGCTTGGTTGAACCTACCAGTGTAGGATGACCATGTGGGCCATTGTTTTTACGGGACACGTTCTTGCCAGGATTTCTCTATATTGCCTAAAATATCCAGTTTTGGGCTGTTTGCAGATCAATCGCTGTATGACATTCACGAGAGCAGAGCAGACGGCTCCTTATGCTTTTGAATCCCTCTTGCGGTACTTTGATGTCATTCAATGACTGGTCTGCGCAGCGACGCTTCAAGTCGAACGAACAAACAAACACACCTTACACGTGCGCGTATTTGCATCGCTTTGATTTTCTCTGTAGATCCCACCTTCTCACACACCATAATTGGTCGATTATGCACAATAGTAGTAGTAGTATACTTTATTGTCCTCAAGAGGAAAATTGTTATGGACTACATGTTGCTGCAGACATACAATAAACATATAAAAAACAAAATTAAATAAAATCATGAAAATAAAATCAAGATGAACTCTTGTTGTACAACCGCACCGATACAGGTACAAAGGAATTCTTATATCGATTTAACTTACACATTGGGATTATATATCTTCTACCAGAGGGAAGTAGTTCATATTGTAAATACAAGAAATGAGTTTGATCACCAAGAATCCTCTCTACCCGATTAAGAACACATTCCTCATATAAAACTTGAAGGTTAAAATGTTCATCATGCCCAACAATTCTCCATGCTGTCAATAACAAGTGCATCAACTTAGATTTAAACTGTACTGATAGGTTACCAAACCACACTGTGATACCATACCTAACAATACTTTCTAAAACAGCTTTATAAAACAGCAGCATAAGATTCTTGTTTACTCCATAGAGACGTAACCTACGTAAGAAATACAATCTCTGTTGTAGTCGAGTGCAAACCCATTCAATGTGTGTTTTCCATATAAGTGAACTATCTATATAAACACCCAAGTACTTATAGGTCTGTGACTGAATAATATTATGATCATGTATAACCACTTGGCGATGGTCACCTATATATTTTGGATCAAATACAATCTCTTTCGTTTTCTTTGTATTTATTATTAGCTCATTTTTATCACACCAGTCAACAAACTGACTTATCTCTGACTGGTAAATAGTGCTAATATTGTCATGCACATGGAGTAGACTTAGTATGGCTGTGTCATCTGAATATTTAAAAATAAAATTTTGTGAATGCCTACTTAAGCATTCATTTGTAAAAAGTGTAAAAAGAATAGGTGAACTGACGCAGCCTTGTGGAACACCTGTACTACTACTCTTTTGATATGAAAAAAGATTATTTACCTTTACACATTGAGTTCTATCTATTACAAAAAGAATAGTACCACTTAATAATACATGGGTTTACACTCAGCTGCTTCATTTTATCAATTAACAATGCCTGCATGTTATTGGTCAAACTACTTTGGATGTTTTAGGCAATATAAAAATCCTGGCCAGGACGTGTCCCGTATAAATGGCACATATGGCCACCCTAACCTGGGGCTTGGCCCCACCAGCACAGCTCCAGAGAGTCACTGAGACAAACAAGCAACCCTACCACAACAGGTAGCAACACAGAGGGAGACTAGTTGAGTAGTCATCTAGAAAACAGATCCAACTCCATTACTTCATACTACTACTACTACTACTGATAAAAAAAGCAGTTCTTCCCCTAAAGTACTCATTTTAATAGTCTGTTCACAAACTTTTGTCAGTGGCACAATAGCAAAAGCCCCAGCCTAGACGTTTAGCTTCAACAATTTTTCTTCATTATTTAAAGGGATACTCCACCCCAAAATGAAAATTTTGTCATTAATCACTTACCCCCATGTCGTTCCAAACCCGTAAAAGCTTTGTTCGTCTTCGGAACACAATTTAAGATATTTTTGATGAAAACCGGGAGGCTTGTGACTGTCCCATTGACTGCCAAGTAAATTACACTGTCAAGGTTCAGAAAAGTATGAAAGACATCGTCAGAATAGTCCATCTGCCATCAGTGGTTGGCTTTATTCAACAATTCGTCTCCTCTGTGTCTCTCCGCGTCACCGTAGCGCCATTTTGGAGAACATCCGCTGAACGCAAACTGCGTACACTATTCTGTGTCAGCCACGCTACACAGATGCGCTGTTTTTGTTCAAATCAAAGCGTAAATACATGTAGAAAACGTATCCTTGTGTCGCGGCTGACACAGAATAGCGTACACAGTTTGCGTTCAGTGGATGTTCTCCAAAATGGCGCTACGGTGACGCGGAGAGACACAGAGGAGACGAAAGGTTGAATAAAGTCATTATTTTTGTTTTCTTCGCGTACAAAAAGTATTCTCGTCGCTTCATAACGTTACGGTTGAACCACTGATGGCAGATGGACTATTCTGACGATGTCTTTCATACTTTTCTGGACCTTGACAGTGTAATTTACTTGGCAGTCAATGGGACAGACACAAGCCTCCCGGTTTTCATCCAAAATATCTTAAATTGTGTTCAGAAGAAAAACAAAGCTTTTACGGGTTTGGAACAACATGGGGGTAAGTGATTAATGACACAATTTTCATTTTGGGGTGGAGTATCCCTTTAATGACTTACAAAGGATTTTTTTTTGTTTTAGAGCTCTTAGCAATGAATACTACATTACCCTAATGATTAATAAGGGTCCTATAACATTGGTGTTAAAGGTGTTTTTCATGTCTTCAACACGACTGGTATGAATTGTGCCTCTTGCCACGATTGCAGCATTATTCACAAGCAGGTTCAAACCATTGTTTCCCAGAAGAGATCCCACTTTTTTGGCAGACTCTTTGATACTGCACGGATCATCAACATCTAATAGTAGCAGAAGAAATATTAGTCCTAAAGTGTTTAGCAGTGAAATGGAATGATATAAAAAACACACTAAAAATCTCTTTGAAATTCCCCAAAAAACATTCTAGTTAAAGTCTTAAATACACAAAAGAGGACACATGCACATTTACCAAGGCATATGATAGTGATCACACTTGGATGCTTTCTCGCCAGTTCTCTCAATGCCTTAAGAAAGATAAAATGCATAATTAAACAAGGCACATTAGGATTTCTCCTGTTGTTTCTATTTGTTTCATTATTTACAACTCACCTCAGACTTTGGTCCATCTGGGTCACGACAGGTAGCAAAAATATGTTTTTGACAGGAGTTCTCCAAGAGTTGCTTAACAGTTTCTAAGCCCAAGCCCCGGTTGGCTCCGGTGATCAAGATATTGCATGCTTTCACTGCTGCCATGTTCTAAGTTAATCAGTCTGGGTCATCCAACCTGCTCTTTTGAAGTGCTTTTTATGAGAACCCAAGTGAACACCACACCTATTTTGCACTGGTTTGTGCTGTGCATATTGTGCTGCATCATACTGTTTATGTTATTGAGGTTAAAAGGAAAAGATAAATGACATGACTAGTCAGAGAGAGAAAGAGAGAGAGAGAGCGAGAGTAATTCTCTCCCTCTCTGACTATTCATGTCATTTCTCTTTTCCTTTTAACCTCAATAACATAAACAGTATGATGCAGCAGAATACAGAGTCATCTAGAAAACAGCTTGATCTCTGCTGTTAGCTCAACTATTAACAGGGACTGCTCTTCTCTGCTTGTTAATGATTTGCAAGTGTAATAAACAGTTGCAGCTCTTTTAAATAAAGGTGCAGTCTCTGAAAGACTGTACAGAAAACTAAATGAGTAAAATATTTTCAAATCTTTTTGCCTGGTGTACTTAAAAATACATTTGCATACTCCTGCATAGTAGCTGAAATGAATTTTCCACAAGCTCTTGATTTTTATTTTACAATATGCATGTTGTCCAGTATGTGTTTTTTTCTTTCCAGGGAACAATCACTCAATCACAGTGACATGTATGTAACTACTTGGATGCTTTACAGAAAGATAATATGCTCTATATAATAATATTTTACTTCAAACAAGACACATTTATCGTTTTTCCTTACAATAGTCAATGTTCAAACATGGTGCAATGACTGACTTTGGTGATAATCAGAAGACTTAGAGTGGACAGTGAGATTATACATAGTAGTAGTAGTAGTAGAAGAAGAAGAAATAATTTAAGTTGTGTATTACAAACCTGTTATAATTTAGTCCACCTTGTTAAGCATTTTAACAATAATTTTATAATGTCAGTGTAACCGGGTAAACTATGAAGTACACTTCAAAAGCAAAATATATTTTTCTTGGGGTTTATTCTGACTGCTGTGTTTGAATAAGTGACAGTGGTTGATGGGGGCAAAATTTAATTGAACAAAAGTTTAGAAAAAAGTCTAATTCAAATGATTATTGGTAACATTTTATAATAATTTTCAGTTATAAATCATTAACAAACATTATATAATGTTTAACTAATCATTAATATATATTCACATATCTAGAAATATGAGATAATGTGCTTGTTAATGTTAGCTAATAAACTTATTAAACATTACAAAATGATTAACAGGTCATTATTTAATGTAAATTGAAATGCTTACAAATGTCACCATTCTCACCAATCTTTCAATTCATCATGCATTTTTTTTAAAAATCTTCAAATGATTTTGACAGATGGCTTACAATGATTAAAAGCTTCATTAATAAATCATTAACAAACATTATATAATGCTTAACGGATAATTAATTAATGTTTACAAACGTCATTAAACTTTCAATGCGTTTTAAAAATCTACAAATGGTTTTAACAGAAATTATACAATGATTACAGTTTATTTGCTAATGTACTTTTGAATTCTTACAAATGTCATTAAACTTCAGTTCACATATTAACTAATGCTATTTTTTACATTTACAAATGTTGTGAAAATATAGCTTAATTAGTCATTTTCAGCACTTCACAAACTATGCATGTTAATATATTCATTAACTCATAATCACAGTCTGTAAAGGTCATACATTTGGTCTTTGTTTGTTGTGAAGACTTCTACTATTTGCGCATCTTAAATTATGTATTAATAATTTTTAAATGTTTTTGCAGTACCCAATCTAAAGTGGAAACTATTCATCAATTGTAAATGTTTATAAACATTTACTAATCATTAGTACTTTCATGAGCAGTCATTTTGATGCCAAAAAGTGTCCCAGATGTCCGGAATTTTCACATCTTTACAAAGCATGTATTAATCATTTGTTCATGTTTTTGCAGTACCCAATCTAAAGTTGAGACTATTCATCATTTGTAAATGTTTATAAATACTTAATTTAATATCATTTATCAAAACAATGCAATATAAACAGATTGAATCGTCTTCACTTATAGTAATCAAATTGACCCCTGTACACTGCTGACCACTTACCCAACACTTAAACCAACCCATACACCACTTTACTTTATAGCAATGGGTCTGATTGAAACACCTGAATTCAAAAATTAAGAAGTGTTTCCCAATACTTTTATCCAAATAGTGCACACATATTTATTACCAAAGAAGTTTTTAAATGGACAAAGGGATTCTAAGATAATGTACACTTTTCCCATACATTCACAAGTCTTTTAAACTGTTCTTCAATTTTACATAACAGGTTGAATAATTTTGGTATTCTGTTAATAATAATTTTGTCTCATAAATGCTTAATTTTATTTGCCTGAGCTTGGCCAAAATAATTTTTTCACATGTTTACATCTATCATGATTACACAAAAAGTTATTTTAAAAGCTATTTGATTTTCTATATTTTATGATGTTCAAAAGACATTGACTGACTTTCCTGACCACTTATATATAGTTCAATAATGACAACTCTCGGAAGATTTTAGCATGGTGATGGATATGACAATGTGGTCTTGGCGGAACAGATCTGCTACGCTGCTGCTGAATTGCTGCTGCTGTTGGTTATTGCTGTAGTTGTAGATTATTGCTGCTGCTGCAAGCAAATACAGGAACTTGCTACTGCCAATGCATATGGCAATACGGTGCCGTTAGTATTTAAGACATACTGCTGCTGCACAAATAGCATATAAAATAACCCCCCAACAAAGCTGGAAGAAGAAACAAAACAATTAAATATGTATGCTGCTGCTATACAATAATATGCTTAGAATCATCCCTGTGATGCAGAAGGAATATAAAAGATAAAAACCCCCAGAACAAGCAGATCTATTGCCAAGATATATGTACTGCTCCTGCTCCAGAGAGCCATGAGACCGTGTGTTTGCTATCTATGTGAGCCTGGGCCGGCTTTGCCGAATGGCTTAATGCTAGTGAACTATTACTGTGTTTACCTAATCGGTTAAGCAGCTGCTCATAAAACTTAAAATATGTATATTGCATATTAAGAACAATAATGTTCGTATTGTATGAACACATCATTGCTAAATGCATGGCTCGTTCCAAGATGGCCTTGAGCAAGATACTACAGTGACTTTATTTAAATGCAGTTGTCTGCTTTTATATTAATTGTGTCCAAATTAAAATTTGCAACATAGAAATGCTGTGCATGCTTCTGCTGAGAAAAATCTCGATGAATTAATGCCTATGCAAGCTGCTGCTACTGCACAAGAGACTGAACTGCTGAGAGCTCCATTAATTAAGCATATAAGTAGCTAGGAGAATGCCTATTTTAATCTAATGCGGTGTCTATGCCAGACACAAGCAGCACATGACAAAGTCAATAGTCCCGTTACGATAGGTAAAGCTGTCTGCAATGTATGCAGTGCGATAAGGCCAAGGCAACAAAACTTCTGCTACAGCTGCTATTGATATCAATAGCATCAATACTGAGTTGAAGTACATGCTGTTGCTGTTAATGATATTCACAGTGTTGTCTTCGCTAATAATGCAATATGAAGTTCTATGGATACTGCTGCTACACTCCATGAAAGTATACTAGAATTGCTGTAGCCCATCCATGCATTATCACTGATATTTCATGCAACTAAAGTACTTTCTGCTGCCCCTGCTATATTAGCAATAATAATTCGTTGCTACGCAGACTGCTGCTAATATTATTTCTAACATTGCATCTGAATTTGCTATGCCATTCTGCTGCTATTAAATTAGCTAAATATTGCGATCTGAATAGCTATGCATACTGCTATTAATACTTCGCTAATAATGCAATATGAAGTTCTATGGATACTGCTGCTACACTCCATGAAAGTATACTAGAATTGCTGTAGCCCATCCATGCATTATCACTGATATTTCATGCAACTAAAGTACTTTCTGCTGCCCCTGCTATATTAGCAATAATAATTCGTTGCTACGCAGACTGCTGCTAATATTATTTCTAACATTGCATCTGAATTTGCTATGCCATTCTGCTGCTATTAAATTAGCTAAAAAGCATTGGAGATTTTGGGCAAATAAGGTAATCCCCAATTCACTTTACTGTTCTAAATCTGCAATGCTTGACGTTGTATTCTCACATGAAAACTGCTTGCTGCTGCTGCTAATGCTACTGCTGTTATATGAACAATACATGCTTAGTAATTAGTACTGGAGGGAGAGAGCAGTAATTTTCCCTAATTTGTATGTCCTAGCTTGTACAAGTGTCCCTTGTGAGAGGATTTTTCCATCAACAGCAGAACAATTAATATTTTTACATAAAAAAATCTTTATATGTAAAACAAAATGCAAGACAAAATGCAATGCTTGATGTCTTTTATTCATGTTCATTTTTCATGACCAAAATAGCATATTTATTCACAAAGAGTTCATTCAGTTGTCAGACCGATGTTACAACACGTCACAAGAACAGAACAATAAAAACACAACTTTTAATTGTTTATTATAATCTGTAGCGAATCAGCTCATGGGGACATATGAATATGCTTGCGACATATTCAAACCCGAGATGTCAGCATGTCAGTCGAGCACACTAACCACTCCCCCAACTCTCTGGATGGGGGTTAAGTACTCATATAGTATGTTATAATTCATCAATTCGCTTAACTGATTTGTTATCAAGACTGTTTCAGAGCAATATTTGAAAATGACCACTAGGTGTCACTGTAGAGACGGGTGTCGAATTGTTTCGAAGCCTCGGCACATTTGCTTCGAATGTTTCAGTGTTTCACGAAGCCTCGCTCTACCCACCACTACTGGAAACTATGACAGGGAACTGGCTCCGTAAAGTAGCTATCACTAGGAGAGTGATAAATGCTAAACAGGCTGGTTTAGGTTAATTTAGGAAGTCCATGGCTTATGTAGGGTGTTTGATTGGTTGCAGCTGTATGTGTAATCCAGTGCAATGGATGATGGGAAATGTAGTCCGACCGGATTCATGACAGATATAACGATATGACCAAAATTCAGTAAAGAAACCGTTAAAGCTGTGGTCCAAAAAAATCATGTGGAAACAATGCGGAAATCGAAAGCACCTGCTGCATTACACTTAACATGGATTCAAAGGCTTTACACTCACTTTTTCTCCACCCACTTCAGTTATCAAACATCCTGGGTGAAGGGGGTCCATGCAGAGGATCTCATCTGCCTTTAACTCTTCAGCAGCTAACACAGTCAGCATGTTAAAACCTGCCTGATAGGCAAACATAACATTTGAGATATACATCAACTT